TATATACATTAACACAGGCACTAATTTGGGACCAGAGAAAATCTCTCTTATATCCGGGTTTCTATATCGGGTTTGGTCTTATATACATCACAGGCACTAATTTGGGACCAGAGAAAATCTCTTTATATCCGGGTTTGGTCTATTTTATATACATTAACACAGGCTCTAATTTGGGACCAGAGAAAATCTCTCTTATATCCGGGTTTCTCTTATATCCGGGTTTGGTCTATTTATATACATTAACACAGGCTCTAATTTGGGACCAGAGAAAATCTCTTTATATCCGGGTTTTCTCTTATATCCGGGTTTGGTCTATTTTATATACATTAACACAGGCTCTAATTTGGGACCAGAGAAAAATCTCTCTTATATCCGGGTTTCTCTTATATCCGGGTTTGGTCTATTTTATATACATTAACACAGGCTCTAATTTGGGACCAGAGAAAATCTCTCTTATATACGTGTTTCTTTTATATCCGGGTCTCTTATATCCGTGTTACACGCTATATACAGACTTATTATTACCCAAGCCAGCTTTTTGGAACAAAATTAACATCGTATGATTTGCATTTACGAAGATATTTTAAAATTAAAATGCATTAGAATGCATTCTTAGATTCAAAAAGTAAAAACGAACCGCGAGAATTCTTATTCTCGAATCGGATTACCGTTCGTTTCTACATTTTTATTCTGCTAAATGCTATTAAACAAATATGATAAAAACAAGCAAAATTTAAAAGAAGAATATTAAATTCAATTATTTGACAAAAAGTTTAATATTTACTTATTCAAATGTTCGAGAGAGAGAGAGAGAGAGAGAGAGAGAGAGAGAGAGAGAGAGAGTGTGTGTGTGTGTGTGTGTGTGTGTGTGTGTGTGTGTGTTTCTAGCTACATAATATATATACAGACAAATCACCCATCAGCGGACTTCGGATGCAACAGATAAAATGTGTATGCAAAATAATAATCATAATAATAAAAAATAACAAAAAAAACCTGCAGGCAAAAAAAAAAAAAAACTTCCAATTTTACTTGTGTTGTGTCATCATCTTCAGGTCACACCCTTTTTTTTATGGAAATTCAAATCATCCGTTTTTTCACGAGGAGAATAGCTATTTTGTAGTATATATGTAACTATGTTTTAATAGTTTATTCTCCGCTACTTCTAGCCTGTGAAATTCTCTTCCGGCTTCTTGCTTTCCTGTCAGCTACAATTTAAGAAAATGTAAATGTACCATAAATCCTTATTTTATCTCTCCTTGAATCCGATTTTTTTCTGTCGATTCTCCTCAATAATGTTTTCTCACTTTCATTCACAGTCAGTAACCACTTTATCCCGTTGTTTTGAAAACAAAAAAAATGTTTCCTTCAATTTTTTTTGTGCAGTGTTTTATCTCGTATTTTCGTCCGTTTCCGGAAATGTTACATTTGAAATTTAAATACAAGTATGTCATAAAAGTGACGTCCGTACATAAATATTTCCTTTTCACCGTAAAAAGATTGTGTTGAATATTTTATTTTATACGGATAATAAATGATTTTTTGTTATTTTAAAATGACGTCTCCTTAATCCCATAAATATAAAATACCTTAAAACTATCTTTCTTCATATATATATATATATATATATATATATATATATATATATATGTGTGTGTGTGTGTGTGTGTGTGTGTGTGTGTGTAAAAATATAGAAAATAAGAAAGAACTCGTTAGGTAAATAATTCAAAGTTCTTTAGTATTTTGTTATTGATTGTAAAAAATAGTGCTCGATACAAAAGTAAGGCATAAATATAATTATTTATTTAAAAATATAATTCCAACACGCTACATAAGAGTTCTCATGTTTCAAAAACAAGAGCCAAACACCTTAGTATAATTATTAGAATTAGTATAATTATTTGAATTAAATTGAATTAAAGTACCAAGCTCTGTTCCATCTTCAAGCGAAATTTTTTTCGGAATAACTAATTCCTGAAATTTACGCGTTTTAAGCATATTCATTATTAAAATTAAAATTACTATGGTAACGGCTAGAGCAATTATTTAAAAAAAGTGCCTAAGGGTTAATAATTTGTATCAATATCTCAGTTATATTCAAAGAGGTCAAGTTAGGGTAAAATTGGGGTGTCTAAATTTAAAGCGGAAGATGACATCGTCTAAACCAGACGTCTCTTGTTTCTGAAACATGAGGACTCTTATGTAGCGATGGAATCATATTTTTAAATGAATAATTATATATATATATATATATATATATATATATATATATATATTTGTATACGTATAGATGGGTAAGGGGGTGAGAATGCGTCTAGCCTACACAGAGTGGGGTTAAGGATAAGAAATTGAAAATGGTACATTTAACTCACTCATATTTTCTCTCCCACATCATTTCCTCACTTCGTTAATTTCACATACGCTTGGTGCGGTCCGTCAAAAATGTGTAAATTTCTTTTCATTTTTCATTTCAACTTTTGGAAGTAAAGTCTGAGGATCCAGAGCCATTTAAAAGGGCTGTGGTGAAATAACTTATTACATGGAACCTTAAAGTGATCTGTTTTTATTCAAACATATTTGCTCTGAATTTACATTGAGCTCTCTGGATATCATCCTCCTTGGTGGGTCTACCATACGGATTACCTAATTTTGCATAAACTATATATATATATATATATATATATATATATATATATATATATATTACAATGAATCATTTATACAAAAAGTAAATTAGTAAAGTTAATGATATAAAATGGCTAAATCCATTCGCTAACAAAATTTTAAACATTCATTAACTCATCAGTCACTCGATGAATATTATGATACTTGTTTTTTTTTTTTTTTTTAGTTATGAAATCTCTTTGTTTGTATCCATTATCAATAACATATTTCAACAAACACAGCTTTCGGTTAGCATTATATATTTTCGACTCGGATGTTACCTGAATTTTACCAAAAACAAAATAATTTCCATGCCTGATTTGACTGAAATGAAACATTATATATAATGTTTCATTTCAGTCAAATCAGGCATGGAAATTATTACTAAATACACACATACAACAATCCATTTTCAGTTAAAAATGGCTAAATGTATAGCCGAAAGCGCTAAGAAAAAATAAAACGTTTGGACAGTTTTTTTTATAATTTTTATAATTTATCTTCTGAAAAGAAAAAAAATAATAAGATCTCATGAGAAATTATATAAAAAAATATTAAAGAAAGCACTTTGGCTGACATTTAATGAACTTTGCACGAAAGAAACATTGCTGCTCAAAAGAATACATATATATATATATATATATATATATATATATATATATATATATAATCCACAGACAGACGATTGTTTCAAGATGGGATGGAAAGCCGACTGATTTGACACCAGCCAGATACTTTATCTCTAGGCCATCGTCGCACGGCAGCAAGGGAGGTGATTATATATATATATATTACAATGAATCGTTCATGCATGGAAGTAAATTATATATATATATATATATATATATATATATATATATATATATATATATATATATATATATATATATGCATGTACATAGATATGTTTATGTGTTTGTGTGTTGACGAATAAAATGATGTTTATACATATATAAATCCACGTCTGATAGTGACAGTTTCATTTCATATATATATATATATATATATATATATATATATATATATATATATCATTATTTATTTAAAATATGATTCCAAATCGCTACATAAGAGATCTCATGTTTCAAAACAAGAGAGCCGAAAAAACTTCAATATAATCATTTAAATTAAATTGAGTTGAAAGTAAAATGGGCTCCGTTCCATCTTCAAGCGAAATTTTTGTTGGAATAACGTATATCTGAAAGCACATATATATATATATATATATATATATATATATATATATATATATATATATATATGTGTGTGAGTTTGTGCGTTTGTGTGAATGTGTGTGTGCGTTATTGTAATAAACATTTTCAACGTGTGTGGATATTTTGAGACGTGTATTTTTGTTATATATATATATATATATATATATATATATATATATATATATATATATATATACAAAACACACGATAATTTCTCGAAGGTATGGTCAGCATTCAATTTCATTCAATCTCGTCTAATCTCGTCTCGTCCCTCCGTGTCTTGTCACGTGACAAGGAGTGTCATCAAAATGTTTAATCTTTTTTTCCTTCTTTCTTTCTTTTTTTTCTTGGACAGTTCGTGAGAGATTTAATAACCGGAAGCACCGTTGAAACTCCCATGATGCAAACAAGCGTGCATCCGGTCGCTGTTCTGACCACACCTTCATCCGACGAACATGATGAAAGTCAGGCTTTTTTTTTCTCCTCTTTTTTTTATTTATTTCGTTGGCTGGCTTGACTTTGGTCTTTTATTCGTAGTTAACGTCTTTGTCTTGGCCATCTTCCTTATTTATTATTATTTTTACCCATAATTTTTTTTTTTTTTTTTTTACTTTCCTTTTTATCTTTATTTTCTTAGCGATTCTTTCCTTTTTACATAGGTGTTCTTTTTTATTTGTTAATTCCACTATGGTATCTCTGTCTTAACCACTTACCCAGGTGTAGACCTATGTATTCGTTTTTTTACTGAAAGTGTCTTTTTCAGACAATGACGATTAAACGCGTCCACCACATACATAAAGTTCGAAAACCAGCTACAAACGAGTTTATACGTTGATCATTTTTTTATGGTCTTCTGAGGTGGAACTGTGTCTAATTGTCAACTTATACGTCTGGTAGTGTCGTTAGGCACCGTTTGGTTGCTTCAAGGTCCCTAGGGTTTTAGTTACTACACAAAAAGAAATAAAAATTCGCCTGAAATAACTGGCGGGGAAGGGGACTATTTGTCATATTTTTTTTTTTTTTTGCTACCCTTATTCAGTTTTTACCCCAAAACATGGACATCTGTGTCTTTACTTGCCTTTTCTCCATTCTTTTTTTTTTGCCAGTTTCCTTTCTACATAAATGAGTGTTCTTATTATTCGCCTTCTTTTTTATATACTTGGATTTCTTTCTTTCTTTCTTCTTCTTCTTCTTCTTCTTCTTTTCTTTATATTTTACTTCCTCAGATTACACATATCAGTTTATTTTTTAATCAGGATGATTATGTTTGCTTTATTGTCGTCCTCTCCTCCTCCACTTCTTTTTCTTCCATCTTTTATTTGTCTTTTCTATTTTGATTGTGTTTCTTCTCTCTTTCTTTCTTTCTTTTTTTCTTTCTTTCTATGTTTCGATTTTGTTTCTTTTATTTTCTTCTTTCTTTCTTTCTTTCTTTCTTTCTATGTTTCGATTTTGTTTCTTTTTTTCTTCTATCTTTCTTTCTATGTTTCGATTTTGTTTCTTTTATTTTCTTCTCTCTTTCTTTCTTTCTTTCTTTCTTTCTTTCTTTCTATGTTTCGATTTTGTTTCTTTTATATTCTTCTCCCTTTCTTTCTTTCTTTCTATGTTTCGATTTTGTTTCTTTTATTTTCTTCTCTCTTTCTTTCTTTCTTTCTTTTTTTCTTTCTATGTTTCGATTTTGTTTCTTTTATTTTCTTCTCCCTTTCTTTCTTTCTTTCTTTCTATGTTTCGATTTTGTTTCTTTTTTTCTTCTATCTTTCTTTCTATGTTTCGATTTTGTTTCTTTTATTTTCTTCTCTCTTTCTTTCTTTCTTTCTTTCTTTCTTTCTATGTTTCGATTTTGTTTCTTTTATTTTCTTCTCCCTTTCTTTCTTTCTTTCTTTCTATGTTTCGATTTTGTTTCTTTTATTTTCTTGTATTTTTCTTTCTTTCTTTCTTTCTTTCTTTCTTTCTATGTTTCGATTTTGTTTCTTTTATTTTCTTCTCTCTTTCTTTCTTTCTTTCTATTCTATTATATATTTTTATCGTGCTTCTCCTCCCTTTCTTTCTATTTTATGTTTCGATTTTGTTACTTCTCTTTTTTCTTCTTTCTTTCTTTCTTTCTTTCTTTCGTTCTTTCTTTCTTTCTTTCTTTCTTTATTTTGATTTTGTTTCTTCTCTTTTTTCTTCTTTTTTCTTTCTTTCGTTCTTTCTTTCTTTCGATTCTATATTTTGATTTTGTTTCTTCTCTCTTCTTACTTTCTTCTTTCTATCTTATATTTGATTTTCTTTCTTCTTTTTCTCTTTCTATCGTTCTTCTATCTTTCTTTTTATATTTTGAATTTGTTTTTTTTATTTATTTGCGTTTGTGTTTATCGCTCTACTTTTTTAAATTGTCATCGTTTTTCTTCATGCATCTCTCTTTCTCTCTCTCTTTCTCTCTCTCTTTCTCTCTCTCTCCATTTCCCTCTCTTTCTCTCTTTCTCTTTCTCTCTCTTTCTCTATTTCTCTCTCTTTCTTTCTGTCTCTCTCCATTTCCCTCCCTCTTTCTCTCTCTTTCTCTCCTTCTCTCTCTCTTTCTCTCCCTTTCCATTTCTCTCTCTCTTTCTCTCTCATTCTCTCCCTTTCTCTCCCTCTTTCTCTCTCTTTCTCTATCACTCTTTCTCTCGCTTTCTCTATCACTCTTTCTCTCTCTTTCTGTCTCTCTCTCCCTTTCTCTCCCTCTTTCTCTCTCTATTTCTCTCTCTCTGTCTATCTTTTCTTCATCTTTTCTTTTAACTTCTATTTTCTCCCTGTTATTTTTACATTTTTACCCATATTTCTCAACCCGTTTCTTTGCTTTTTCTTCCTTCTTTTCTCAAATTTTATTTATATTTTTCTTCTTCGTCTTTTTTTCTTTTTCTGCATTATTTCCTACTTTTCTTTTTTCCTTTAATTTTTCTTTGTAAATTCTAAATAAATTTCTTTTATTCATTCTTTACCGTTTTTTTTTTTGTATACTTGTTTTTATTTTTCTGTTCTTTTTCTTATTTTTTTCTTTTCAGTTCCTTTTCCTTAGTTATTTTTTCTTCCCCTAATGAGATTGATTTATTTTTTCTTCCCATTACGTTTCTTTCTTCATATTGGTTTCTTTCATTATATTCAGGCTTTTTTAAACAATATTTAGTATTAAAAACGCCTGATAATTATGCACCAACCCATATTTCTTCTGTCCTGACTAAAACGATGAACTACATCCGCGTCCTGGGTAAGACGATAAACTACATCCAACAGCAAGGCCTCTGATCAGGAGGTTTTCAGGAGCGTAGAACCTCCTCTTAATTGCTGGTGTTCCCAGCTCCACCCTGACCCGGGGTGGTAGCACCTGTCTTTCTTTTTATCTTCCTTCCTAGCTCTCACTTCTTTTTATCCTCTTATTCTTTTCATTCTTAATGCTTCTTCTTGTCTACGTTTTTAACTTTATTCTTTCTCTTTTATTTCCTTTTTATCTAATTTCTCCTGTTTTTTTTTCCTTTCTGTTTTTCCTTGATTTTTTTTTTTCTTTTTTACTTTTTCGGCTAAATCTTTTCTTTTAATTTTCCTAACATTTTGTTATGGTAATTTATCCATGCACGCATGGTCTCTCCCAGCTATAAATAGGAGCAGGTACTGCCTTTTAAAGAGGGAAGTTTCCATTAGTCTGCTCTGACAGTCGGACCGAACATTTTTCTGTAACACTCTCCTTTGTATATGTTTATATTGCTGTTTTTGTTAATTTTTCTGTAACACTCTCCTTTGTATATGTTTATATTGCTGTTTTTGTTAATACATTTGTTTATATCAATTCCTCTGTTTGTGTCTTGACTTTTAGCCTTAAAAAACCGCAAGTGATTTCGTTCTTTACAATTCTTGAGCTTTTTTTCAATACTCTTTTTTTTAGTTTATATCTCTATTGCGTCGTTTCAATATTAACAACCGATTGACATACTCTGTATTGCGGCCTATAAGTCGACCTCAAGATGCTTAGCTCAAAATACTGGTTTAGGCCTATACCTATCGTATAGGTCGACCCCATACATGCAGTAGGGCTACCAGTATCCCCAAATCTAGATCTACAGAACACATGAAGTTAGATTACAGTATACAATAACGCGGGCGAAAACTGAATAAGGTCCCAACACTTATTTAGAGACTAACCTTAACATCTTTCTACATGCGTTTTATAGCAAACAACTTACACCAGTAGGTACTGTATATTCTATCGGGATAATTTAGCGAACATTTAAAATTCGTCAGATCGACTGATGAATACATTAAATCAGTATGAACTCCAATAAAATATTAATACCGTATAATACATACAATACTAGATTCGTTTTTTTGATAGTACTGGTACGTAAAATGTAGTCTATCATCCGGTAGGTCTAGGTTTTGGGCCACTGTGAGCCTAGTTTATGTCGACTTATAGGATAACTCAAAATATCAATAATCCGTCATTTGCATCAGTGATGTAAACAAACAAGCAGTGACGCCACCATTTAGTGTATCAGCAGTTGGACTTGATATGTACTGTAGCGTTAATAGAATATTGAGTGTTACGATATTAATTTGCTGTGTTAATATGCCAAATATGTTCACCAAACACAGCTTTTAATGGGATATATTTGAGGTAGCTTGCTAAAAGTAACTGGTGTATCGTATTTTACAAATGCTGTCCCAATTGCTTACCATTCAGTTGTAAAGGTTTGCTTTTTATATAGAATTCAAACCCTAGTTTTGTAAATATTTGCTTCAATAGCACACTCGATGTGTACGCCAGAATTTACGCTAAAACGATTTAATGAAGTTAATACATTCTGCTTTGAATTAAATCAATGTTTTTTGTGTTAATAAAAGCTTAACTCGTCACGTTTTTTTCGTAAATCAAGTGTGCAAACGCAAAATCTTGGTGTAAAAGTTTGACGCCGTCTCCGAGTTTTATACTAAATTTTGAGTTTTACTCTGACAAAACTTACCGCTTCGCATTTTGAAACTAAATCAAGATTTAATTTTTTAAAATTGTGCCACCCCTCGAATTTTCGTTTGCCTAAATAGTTTAAGGGCGCTTCAAAATTTAAACACGCACACATTTTATTTAGTTTTAATTTAGTAGTTATGTTCAAAATCCTTTTTTTAATTATTTCGCTCGAAACAAGGAGACAAAGCCACTAAGATGCAATGGGTTATAGAGTGTAATAAAATATGAGAAAAAGAAAACATTATTAAGGGGAGATATCAAAAAGAGCACATACACACAGAAGGCAGATGATACCTATTGGCATGACATTTAAATTTCTGATGATCAAATTTTACTGAAAAGCAAGAATTCGGGAGAGAGTTACACCAGCGAGAAGTACGAGAAAAGAAACTGTTAGCATTAAAATTACGGTTGCATCTCACCATTTCAACTGTAAAATGATGAGACCTTGACGCCAATCTAGTAGAAGATCAAAGTTGAGTGGGAAGGAAGAAGCCGGAAGAGAGTTCCATGAGCAAGAAAGAAACTGTTAGCATAGAACTTACGGTTCCATCTCGCCATTTCAACAGTAAAATGATGAGACCTTGCCGCTAATCCAATAGTACACTTGAATTCATAAGAAAGCACATCAGTACAATTACCATGAAAATGATTATAGGAAAATTATAGAAAAGGCACACGGAAGCAATGTTATAGTCGTGGTAAAGTGACTAAAGCCGAGATGCCAGACTGGTCCAATAACAGTGCAGATTCTTCTTTCTGTTTTATAAAGAATCCCTAAATACATAGCAGAAGCACCAGACCAGATGTGAGAGGGTTATTCAATGCAAGAACGAATGGTAGACTTATAAATATGTACGATAACTTCTAGCGACAATAATTATTCAGACCAATATTCTAGATCAATGTAGAAAGCATGGACTGAGTTATGTATTTGGCCCACAGCGGAAACTCAGTAGATTTTGTTAAATTCAATGAAGACGTTTAAATTAAACATTTTGGTGAGTCCTATATACTTTCGATATGATTTCACGAGTTTATTAGAGAATAATAATGTTTGAAATTAATAAAATTCGGACTGAAATTCCTCTGCCATTTTTGATGCCGTACAGATCTTCTTTTTAGGTACCATGTCCCCTTAAGACTCAGGTGATCATGGTTCTCCACAATTTCTTGTCCCTTGCAATTCTAAATAAATTCTGTCTTTTCCTTATTTTTAAAACCTGTTCAGCCATCCATTTTCTCAAGCTAATCAAGAAAGTTATCCGTTGCTCTCCCATACCCCTCTTGCTTTGAATCCGCCCTGAGAGTAGCATAATTTCTAAGTCGTCCTTCCTCATTATATGTCCCAGGAAACTGCATCTCCTTGATGTTAAGGAAGGATTTTGTTTCAATTTTCTCTAAAACCTCATCTTTGCTCACGTCTTCGGTCCCTGGCTGTGGTGGCATCCCATATTTCCAGGTAACGGGATCTATAAAGGCAACTAGCTGGAATCACGTCCTCAGGCCATTGGCATACATACAGAACACATTCAAAATCCTACAATGCACATATCATTTCAGCCACAACGCAAGAAGAAAGGCAAACAAAATATACAACCGAAACAAAAATATTAACATAATCCGCAATAATAAATTACAGATGCATAATACTACCGACCAACTCCGCCACGTCCACTATCCAGAACAATATATATATATATATATATATATATATATATATATATATATATATATTCATTCAAGTATTTCTCATTGAATAGTACAGACATATTATGATTATTAATTTTTATAATGACCATTTCTAGTTCGCTTAATAACTTCTTGCTATCGAGTTGAAATTCATCAAGAAAGGCGTCGTATTTTTTGTTGTCTCAAGTAATTTCAACCTCCTCCGAGAGCATCTTCATGGCTGAATTGCAAAGACAAACTTATTGTAACTCTGATCGTTGTGATGGCGATTTTTTTTTAAACAAGCTTGAACGAGTTCTGTTATAATTATTTTAAGATTTTAAATTTATCCGTTGAATTAAATGCTATGTTGCATTTTTATATATCTTGTTAGCTCCATTACATTGTTGATGCTTATTTGCAAAAGCATCGTAACTATACCGGATAAATAACGGCATCCCAAATTTCCAGGAATTGATTCTATGAATGCATGTAATCTTTACGAACCTATTCTGCTCATTTTCTTTTCAATCTGAGAATGGAACTAAATCTTTTTATAGTATCAAAAAGAATGAAACCATTTTGATAATTGTTGTGGTAGGATCCACCTAATTTGCATAGTGGAGTACCGACCATATAAATATGGTTGGTACCGGGAAGAGAGAGAGGAATCAAGAGATTCAACCAGAGACTCTGCCCGACTGCGACTCAGTCAACACATTCTCCAGGAACGGTCTTACCAGGAATATACAAAAGACTATATGTAAATATTGTGTACACTTTCTTGTTTCAATACATTTTGTTCTAAGTACCTTTTGTGTTGCATTATTATTCCATGCATTAGTCAAGTTTCAACAATAATTTAATAGAAAACATTTATTTATTAAGATATTTCTCTGTTTTCATCATATTTCTGTTCAGAAGTATGATGCTGTTTTGACTCCAGTGCCATCATCTGTGTCATGATTTCTTAGCCACATTTAAACTGAATCACTGCAATCCCAAAGATCTAATGGAAGACCTATCAAATTTATGACTGGAAGATTTGCCATATTTTTCAATTCAAGACTGTAGGCGGTTTGTTCTTATTCATCATCTTGTGATTTCATATTGTGATTTCATGATAGCGCAACCATCAATATTTTCTCAATGGTTCTGTCTACCCAATTTCACTAACAAGACTTGGGTGAACAGTTTTGTTTTCAGGCCCTCTCTGAAGGTGCTGCAAGCTGGAATCACCTCCTCAGGCCATTGACATCATGAAGTTACCTTCCTGACAAATTGACCATGGTGAGAGTTGAACTTGGTTCTCCTGGTAAGAAAATGAACATTCTTACGTGCTTGGGAAATGTCTTAATATTCTTCTCCCTTCCAGCTATGGGTAAATAACAGGAGAAACCGGGTTCTATAGCCTTGAATGGCAACTGGTCTAACGCAGGAAGAAACGGCAACCAACTACGGGAAAAAATGTCTCGTCATTAATGTATTGAAAGATACATGATCGCCTCATCGTGTATCACGCATGGCACATGATTGACTAAGTGTCATCAGTTTTGGTTTTGGTTATGATTTCTTAGCCACATTCGAACTGAATCGCTGCAGTCCAAGAGATCCAATGGAACTACCTATAAAATTTATAACTAGAATATGTACCACGTTTTTTTCATATTGTATTCTAACTGATATTCTACTTAGACCATCGGCTATTAATATATAAGATTAATTTCGGATAATCAATCAACCGGTTCGCTAAGCTTTTATAATTTTAAGAATCGATTTGTGATAACCGGTAGGATGTAACCACCGGTCTATATCCTCAGCATCTTTCTGTAGAACCACATTTATGTTTCTCTTCGTCTTCGGGGAAATTGTCCAGCATTCACTGCCATATAGACCTTGAATGTGTAAATTTCTACAGAAGACAACAATTTAGAGTTAATACTTTTGTTAGTCTACCCCAGTGAGCCAAATAAAGGGTTCAGTTCGACATTCCAACCACCTGAAGAAGGCCGGAGCGTACAACGGCCGAAATGTTGTAATAAAAATGGCGACAAATATGAGGACAATAGTCCGAATAACGTAAATAATGTACTAGAAAATTAGTTTCATATTACTGATAATAATACAAGTGAATATAAAAATGAAAAATCTCAAACAAAAATGAATTTTCAGCCTCTTCATATTTATATGAGTTAAAAGTAAGATTCCTTCGAGAATTTAAATCGTAAGTCTATCAACGCATCTAAACAGCTAATATTGGACTAAAACACAGATACTATCGTTTTCAAAAATGCATTTTTTGCGATATTTATGTTAAAATAAATAATTTTTTTTTCAAATCAGATTAAATATGCTTTAGCTGAACTAATATTCCTCAAATTATGTTTAAGAAAATTATATTCTATTTTTCGAAGGTTTTCTAATAAAGTGAATTACATTGAGATTAAATATGACTGAGAAAGAAATATTATATTAAATCTGTTAGTTTCAAATTAAAACTAAAATAAAAGCATCAAGAATTATTTATCATTTGTAAAAACTTATCGTATCGCTTTATTTGTGAAGGTGTTATACATACGTACATACATACATACATACATATATATATATATATATATATATATATATATATATATATATATATATATATATATGTGTGTGTGTGTGTGTGCGTGTGTTTATATACGTATATAAGCATACACACACATACACGCGCATATATCTATGCATTTAATGACAGGGAGCGACAGACAGCAGGAATTGATAGATAGATCAATATATATATGTAAATAAACGTTCGATATGCGTAGGCCAAAAGGTCATATGGCGATACAAATACGTCATTTCACCATTCTCTTTAAACTGGCTTGGGGGAAATGCAAACATTGCAACATATAGAATAACAAGTGACATTAAACAAACTGTCTGAGAAAAAAGTTTAGAAATTTAGGAAAAAAGAAAAATATATATATATATATATATATATATATATATATATATATATATATATATATATATCTGTGTGTGTGTGAGTGAGTGTGTGTGTGTGTGTGTAGATTGTAACTGAATATCCGTTGTTCAAAATAAAATAAAAGAAGAAAAATATATACAAAACTCAGAAATTTTTTTATTTCTCAGGGTCGGCGGCAAATATCAAGCCATTGAGCATAAAGAACAAGAAGAGAGATAACATATGAAATATCGAAAAAGCGAGAGAGAGAGAGAGAGTGTGTAAGAAATAGAGAAAAAGAGATAAAGAAAGGGTAAGAAATATAGAAAAGGCGTGAGAGAAAAAGAGGATAAGGAATATAGAAAAAGAGAGAGAGAAAGAGGGTAAGAAATATAGAAAAAAGAGAGAGGAAAGGGAGCGTAATACATATATATAGAGAGAAAGAGACGTAAGAAAAAAAACAAGAGTGAGAGAGAGAAGGGAGGGTGAGAAAGACACAAAAGGAAAGATATAAAAATAGGGTAGCTAGATAGAAAAGGAGCGAGAGAAAGAGATGGTAAGAAATACAGAGAAAACAGAGAGAAAGAGAGGGTAAGAAAATATAAGCAGAAAAAGAAAGTGAAATAACGATAGAAAAGAAAATATATAAAAAAGGATAGCAAGAAAGAAAAAGAGAGTAAAAAGAGAGAATAAGAAATATGGAAAAGGGAGAGAAAGCGTAAGAAATATATATATATATATATATATATAGAGAGAGAGAGAGAGAGAGAGAGAGAGAGAGAGAAGAGAGAGAGAAAGCGAAGGTATGAAATATAGAAAGAGAGGGTGAAAGGGAGGGTAAGAAAAATAAAAAGTATGTACTAAGATAGAAAAGGAGAGTAAGTAGGAGATGGTAAGAAATAAAGAAATTGAGAGAGAAAGAGGGTGTAATAAATATATAAGTGAGAGTAAGAAAGTTAACAAAGGGTGGAGAGAAAGAGAGAATAAGAAAGAAAATTAGAGAGAAAAATGAGAGTATAGAAATGGAGAGGAACAAAAATGAGTTGTTCAGATCGAACTTCATAAGGAAAGAGATGGTAAAAATGATAGGGAAGGGGAGAGAGAAAAAGATGGTAAAAAGAATAGGCGAGGTGGAAGGAAAGGCTAGAAAGATAGAAAGGAAGAAACAAAAAGAGAAGATAATAAAGATAGAGCGCCAGAGAGAGGATAAGAAAAATAGCGGGAAAGTGTGGATAAAAATATAGAAAAGGAGGGAGAGAAACACGGAGGATAAGAACGATCGAAAGAGAGAGAGAGTAACAGTTAAAGAGAGACAGAATAGGCGAGAGAAATCTAGGCTAAGAATGACAGAAAAGAAGATAGAAAGAGAAAGTTAGAAAGAGAGAAAAATCGAGAAAATAAAAGGAGGGGAGAAAAGGAGGGATAGAAAGAGATGGGAAGAAAGATAAAAAAGTCAGAGAGATTGTGAATGTGAAAAATTATATAGAAAAGTATACATAAAAAGAGAGGGAAAATATAGAAAAAAAGAGAATGAAGTGATAGTAAAGTTTTAAAAGGATTGAAAGAGAAGGTTAGAATGAAAAGCAGAGGGCAAAATTGTGTGCAAGAAAGAAAAAAAGAGAGAAAGAGAAGGTAAGAGCTGTAAAATAGTGAGAGAATCGGAGATCTATCCGTGTAGAGTGAGTCATAAATAAATATATATAAAAAAGATATACAAACCTCACAAAAATATTTTTCACTTCTATCACCCGTTTGGTTGGAAAATTTAAGCAATTGAAATTAAAGAACCAGAATATGAAAAGACACAGTGCCTGTCAGAAAGAATGAGAGGGTGAGAAAAATCAGGAAGCGGGGAGAGAAACACAGATCTCTAAATGTAGATCGAGATTCAATAGACATACTGCAGAAAGATATACAAACCTCACAACAATGTCTTTTCCCTTTTCTCTAACGGTTGATTGAATATAGAATAATTGAAAATAAAGCACAAAAAAAGAGTGAAAGCCAATGTAAAGAAACGTGACTAAAGTTACAACTGAAATGGGCTGAACAAACGAGGATGTTTAAAATGAAAGAGTTAAATGCCAATGAAACAAAAGAGAAGTCAAGTTAACATGCTAGAAAAAAAAAGGGCTTTGTCATTTCCAGGGATGCTGCCACCTTACACATTTATAAATAGATTCTTGCGCATAAGGGCTTGGCTGCTAAGAGTTAGCTTTGTAAAAGACGCCATTTATTGATTAACAGGTCCGCATAAAACACCTACTGTAACTTGATAATTAGAAAATTTCGGTTGCTGAAAAATTCGCGGGAATAGGGAGTTCGGTTAGTGTGCAAATAAAACTAAATAAAAACATGGAAATGTTTCAACTGAAGTAGATGTCCAGGATAATAGACGTCATATTTACAGATATTTTTATCATATGTCAATGGATATTTAATGCTGATATTTATTCTTCTGGAAGAGAAATTAAAATCCAAGGGATGGAAACTAGCACCGGAAATGTTATTTAGATAGATAGATAGATAGATAGAAACAAAATGAGATAGATAGATAGATAGATAGATAGATAGATATAAACAAAATGAGATAGATAGATAGATACAAAATGATATATATATATATATATATATATATATATATATATATATATATATATAGATAGATAGATAGATAGATAGATAGATAGATAGATAGATACAAAATGAGATAGATAGATAGCTAGAATGATAGATAGATATAAAAAAGAATGAGACATGATATATATATATATATATATATATAAATATATATATATATATATATATATAGAGAGAGAGAGAGAGAGATGGGGTGAGAGATAGGTAAAAGAGAAATTGAAAGGATAGATAAATAGATAGATAGATAGATAGATAGATAGATATACAGATAGATGTAAACGAAATGAGATAGATAAATAGCTATGAGAAGAATGAGAGATATATATATATATATATATATATATATATATATATATATATATATATATAAAAGAGAGAGAGAAAGAGAGAGAAGAGAGAGATAGGTAGATTGAAAAATTGAAAAGGATAGATATAAACAAAATTATATATATATATATATATATATATATATATATATATATATATATAGATAGATAGATAGATAGATAGATAGATAGAAAGAAAACGAGATAGAGGGATTTGAGTAGAATGAAACTGGTATATATATATATATATATATATATATATATATATATATATATATATATATATATATATATATATATTAATGGACAAAGTCCAACAATTTTTATGTTTATTTAATCATTTAGCCAGACATGCCTTTACCGATCGAGCCAAGTTCAAAATCTAACAATGTTTGCTTTCAAACTATTTTTTAGAAAAAAGAAAATGAAGTTGTTTATAGAGATAGAATGACAGGGAACAAGAGGTAGTTAGGAAGATAAAAAAGGAGAGAAGGCGAGGGAAAAAGTGTGTAACTAAATAGAAAAGGAGAGAGAGAGAGAGAAAGAGATGGTAATGAATAAAGAAATAGAGAGAGAAAGAAGTAGTAAGTAATACATAAGGGAAATATAAGAAAAAAGAAAGAGAGAAAGAGAAGTTACTATCAACAATTTAAATATCATAACAGACTGAGCACTCTTCATGTCAGTCGCAGTCATTCGTGGCGAAAGAGAAATCTAAATTCAAAATCTTGTAGACAGCTTTCTTTAGCCTTAATAGATCAACCGGACATACAATAAGAAAACCCAGAATTCAAACTCCCCTAAATAATAGGGCAGACTTGTTTCTTTAGCTCTGGTAGAACAACCAAGTGTAGGTAAACGTCAAATTTAAATTCAAAATCTTGTAAGTGGTTTTACTTCCTTTCTTTCCCCATGCGGTCAGTTTTAGATCCACTGGAGTGACAGGGTGTAATCGATTTCTAGCTTTTCCTCACATTAGGTCATTTGCTGTGCTGTTCAGTAATATGAATCTATTTTCGGGGTGTATGATGAACTTTGTTTGGTCTTGAAAAATATTACATCATCCGTGATTGCATCAGATTTTTATCACACCCATACACTATTGTCCCGACTGTCGATTAGTTGTCCAACGACCATTGTCTGCGATGGACGTTACTCCAAAGAAGCCTACGAAATTGTAACGTTGCACGAACACACTGGCAAATCAAAGTACTATCAAATGGCTTGTAAACTCCCCTGATTTAAATCCAATCGAGGATCTATTGTCGATCTGCAAGGAACGACTTTGTGGAATGGACATATGAAGTACTAACATGTGCAGTGGGTCATGTTTCATTGGAAAAATACGAGAAATAAGTAAATAATAACGGAATTATTCGTTTTGTATCAATTAATTTGCACAAAGGTGTATGTTTACAAATAATCTATTTAATTAGAATTTGACAGGTGGTCAGTTGTTGATAAGCTGGATTTTAGTAGTAAGTGACTACTACATTAGCCGTAACCAAGATAAATGAATAGAGAAATGAACGCCAAACGTATTAGATGGGCGCGAACTGCCACTCAAGTTTCATAGAAAGAGCAAACCTCTCTCAAAATCTGTACAATTCGTCTAAAAATAAAGTTGACCTCAAATTATGCATTCCATCCTGTGACCTGCAGTGGGAGATATCCACAAAGAATCGGGAAAGATGAACGGACAATCCAGACACGAAAGAATCTTCTATGCAAAGTGAAGGACCTTTCTTTGCCTTGTTGGCCTATAGATCAGCACTTGCTCGGGGACGGGTATCGTTCAACTCAGTTGCTAATAGAACAGAGACTGTTTACTACCGGGGCATCATCTTCATCTCCGTTCCATCCAGGATTTACAGAGCATCATAGTGATCCGTTGCTGGTCGACGTGTTTAGCGTTTCGAGGGTCGGCACAGAAGTAACTAAATCATAGTCAACTAAAAGGAAATGCTATTTTAAGCTCGTCTCCCTACCCAAATTCAAAACAAACTTCTTATAAAATTAGTAAATATTAGATTTGATGGGTGAGAAAATAACAAAAAAAAAAAACTTGGAAGTGATTCAACTGAACTGGTTGTCCAGAATAATGGACGTCGTTTTTAGACATATTTTTGTCATGTATCAATGGGTGTTTTTTTTTTTTTTTTTCGCTTCGTGGTATTTAATAACTAGGGATGAAAACAAGCACAAGATATAATATTTAAATAGATAGATACCAGCAGAATATATATATATATATATATATATATATATATATATATATATATATATATATATATATATATATATATATATATAGATGGATTCAATCGATGAGAGCCTGAAAGAAACACTGAAACGAAGATTTGAATTTCAGACATAGCGTGGCTTTTGCAAGCACCAGTCGAAACTCCAGAAAAATATCGAATTCTCGAGAATGACCAAAAAATAAATGAAACAATAAAATAAAAATAAAAAGTATTTTGATCCGAAAAATAGATGCTACAAAACAAATTATTTGAAAATTGGAAAAGTATCATAAAAAACCATTATATCATTTCCTTGCAATTTATCAAAATACATTGTCATATATATATATATATATATATATATATATATATATATATATATATATATATATATATATATATATATATATATATATATATATATATATATATATATATATATATATATCCTCCAGAAAATATAAAAAAATATTTTTATTCGAAAATAATAACATAAATATGTTATAAATTCATAGACAGCCGATTGCTTCAAGCTGGGATCGAAACCCGACCGATTTGTTATCATTCAGATACCCCTAAGATATCAACAAATGGAAATTTTAACGTATTATATGTGTGTATATATATATATATATATATATATGAACAAAATGAGATATATAAGAAGACACTTATAAATAAAGACACGATAAATAAAGTTCGATAGATAGATAGATATGGACAGTTTGCGAAAGATATATTAACAGATGGATATATAAATAAGTATGAACAGCATGAGATAGATAGTTAGATAATACAAATAATATTTAAAATTCCATTATTTTATAATACATTATTTGAAGAGACAAATAAACCACATAGTTATTTCAGATTTTACCATTACTCTAATTCTCCCGATAAAATAACCATCCTGACAGAATAATGTAAATAATACGAGAAAATATTCGTATTAAGATGCACATCAAACGGAGAATAAACGATAAAATTCATCTTGAACGAGCAGTTTCATGCTTATTTTCCATCTAAAGACTGTAAAAGGAAAATTCTTTACTCTTATAGATAATAAAACTAAAGAAAAAGTTAAATTAAACAAATGTAGTTACGGATCCCTTGTACGAAATTGTTAGAATTCGTTGGCTTCTTTCGCTTCGTGTTGTGTTTACATGCAATCACATCATTATCATTGGTTTGTTCTTGTATATTTATGTACAGGCAACCAATTCAGACAACCATGTAACTGCGTGAACCCTAGTAAATCTCATGAATTCTATAATGCCAATTAGTCATTTTGAATCAGATCATGAATGACTGAAGGTAATATCGTTGGGAAAAGTTCATGTCACCAATTGATAATATAAACAGATGGTTATATAAATAAGTATGAACAGACTGAGATAGATCGATAGATAGATCGATAAATAGATAGATAGATAGATATGAACAGATTGAGATAGATAGATCTGAAAATACGGTGATAGATACATACATACATACATACATACATGCATACATACGTAGAAACATAGATGGATAGATCAATCGATAGAGTTCGATAAATAGATAGATATGGAGAGATTGCGAAAGATATATAGACAGACTTAGATAGTGTTATGGGACCTCACCCATAATAAGATAATGGACTATTCCATACGTAATAAATACTGCGCATCAAGAGGAAGCAGGGAGTTCAGTCTGAAGTCTTGAATGAGGTCCGTCAGAAGTCTGTCAGTCAGTCAGAGCGAGTCAGTCAGTTGAGTCAGAGGCAGTCCGAAACAGAGTCGCGTTCAAACAATTACTACTAAACCTGATTGTTCGTACTAACTCTTTTCTACCTCTCTGTATATATTCCTGTTTGTAATATATCTGTATTATTCCATATCCGCCTTCGAGTTCTTCTTTATTGGTTCTACCATGGACTATTACCGTGATACAAGGAACCGGACCATAATAGATAGATAGATAGATAGATAGATAGATAGATA